GATGTGGGTGACATGGATGCAGGTGACACTGATGTGGGTGACATGGATGCAGGTGACACGGATATGGGTTTTCTCCAGGTCCCCAGAGGTGTCAGCCATGTAGGATGATCAGTTGCTGCTCATGGTGATTTTTATGGCACCATAAACAGCTACAGTACAATGCTTAGTGCTCAGGAAGGGCATGTGGTGTGGGTTGGCTGTCCCAGAGCCAGAAATGGACAGCCAGTTCAGAGCTCCAACTCCGAAGCTGGAGCTCCAGCTCTCCTCCAGCTCAACTTTGAAGGGTGGACCTTCTGGCAGGACAGATGTCACACAGTGTGTCAGTCTGGGGTCCGGCCTGCTGCCTATGGCTGGCACAGTTAGGGCCCTGGGGGCTCGTGCAGTTGGGGTCCTGCCTCCTGTGCCCCTTGAGTCCATCCACTTCCCTTTCCTGCACACATGGCAGCCACCTTCTGCCCTCCTGTCCACTGGACTTGCTGACTCATTCATCTCTTCCTCACGTTCCCTGGGACCACTGGCCACAAATGAGCACTGCAGCTGCTGCTTTTCTGGAACAATCTAGTCCTGTCCCTGACTTTGTTCCTGGCTCCGTCCGGGCGGGAGTCTGAAGCTGTTTGGCCTCACTTGTTCTCTTGGTCCAGGGAACCAAACCTAAGCACAAGAGCACAGATGACCTGGAACTTGTACTGTCATTGTAGGCACAGATCATAGGCCTCCTAGACAATTAAAGAGCAGGGTTCAGGAAGATGAACTCACTCTGGTTCACCTAATGAGAGCATCCAGACGTGTCCTGCAGTTCCTGAGAAAATTCTGCCGCTTCATGCTGCTGAGAGCATTGTAGCTACGGCTTGTAAAAAGGTTGCCGATTTTCCCATTTGTTTAGATTAGTTTTAGTGAACATCTCTTCTTCTTGGACTTGGCTGGGTAGTTGGCTTTGTGGCAGGAGCATTTTACTCACCTTGTGCAGCGCCTGGCACTCTGGGGGTGGGGTGGGGCAGCTGCTCTGCTCAGTGTGCATGGGCAGATGTGTCTATCAGTGCCCTCCCTACATGTGACCTGAGTCCAGGGCCATGCAGCGGCTGTGTGTCCCTGTAGAGAGTGCGGGTATGGCTGGCTGCAGGCCCCTCCTGCAGGGGCTGCCAGTTGTGTGGGCTCCACGTTGATTACTTCCTTGGATGTTGGTCAGCTTAGGATACTGGTACAGTGACTTTAGCTCCCCCTGGGCCAGAGTGGGTGAGACGGTATCGGCTGCCAGACCTGCACACCTGCCTGCAAAATTGTGGGAGCGGCAGTGGCCTCCCCGTCTCCTGTCCTCAGTTCTAGCATGGATGCTTCTCCTGTCAGACCCCCAGCTGGAGCCTTGTTGGCAAAGAGTTCCTGGGTCATAGAATCCCAGCTCCCTCCTGTGCTGCTGCAGAGTGACAGGGTGCTTCTGGTTGCCAGGTGCACAGAGCACGGCTGCCTGATGTCCAGGGTGTCCTATGGGACACAGCCACCCCGCATTTTCTTCTCATGCTGATAGAAGACACTGCCAGTGACAGAGAAGCATTTGCAAGGTGATAGTTGGTAGCTGTGGCCGGGCTGCCTACTTGTGTTGGTGCAGATCCCACCTGCAGCAGCAGGCTGGGCCTCGGTCTCTGCCATGCTGTAATGTGACCAGTGATTTCCAGGAAGCCTGCACTCTACAGGGCCAGACTGGTGGCCACATCAGGATGAAAGGAAATAGAAACTATTCATCTTCCAAGTCTTTGAGAGTGACGCTAATCTCTGCAATTCCCTCGTGAACGCAATATTGCTTTTGGCATAAGATTTCGTGCTGAGCAGAAATCTACTTTCCCTTCCTCAGACAACAGCCCACGCCTCCCAGCAGGAGCCAGGGTGGGAACCTGCCAGTTGCTGAGAACACACCCAGGAACTGGGGGGACCCACGGCTCTCTCACGCCCTCAGATCACTGTGGCCAGACCTCCCCACTGCTGCCTCCATGACCCTCAAGTCCCCCTGAGGTCAGTGCTGGCCCCCTGAAGGCCCCACCCTGCCAGAGGAAATGCCTGGCTGCCTGGCTTTGCAGAGTGGCTGCTTCAAGGCTGTCCAGCATGTGGCTCTGCTCCTGTGCACTTGTCAACACCATGGGGTGTGACTGTCCTGGGGATGCCCTAGGTGGGGAGGTCCTTGTGTCAGTGTGGGACAGGCTCTTTATGACCCTGTGTTCTAATATCATGATGCCTTTGATTTGCTTCTTGATCACATCCCAAGGCAGCTCTGGCATACCCATCTCACGTGGCACCAGCCACCTGTAGGCATGAGGTTCACTCCACCGCTCAGGTGACCACCTTGCAGCCCTTCAAGCCGTGGGAGCTTTGAGCTCTGACCTTTCTGTCCAGATGGCCACTATCCCGTGTTGCTCTCCTTGGCTGCCTCAGCCAGCTCTCACTCTGTTCCCCACACTCCATAGGGAAACCTGCATCCCCTGTGAGAGCCTCTCCCTCTCCCCGGGCACTCCGGGGAGGAGAGGCGGGCAGAGTCCTCACAAGAGCTCCGGGCAGGAGGTTTGGGAACGTTGCCTTCTGGCAAGGCAGGGATGATTTGGAGTTTAAATCAAGGAATCTAGTCAGCTTCCTGTCTCTGAGACAAGATCCCCAGGAGCTGTAAACATTGCCGACTGTCTGTGGCCCTGCTCCCGTTCCCCTTGACTCCATTCTACATCCCATCAACAGTGTGAGGGTTACAGTTTCTCCACGTCCTACTCACACTCATTTTCTATTCTTTTATTGATGTATTTTTTTGTTCTTAAAATACAGTTACTGTTCTAATGGGTATGAGGTGGTAGCTCATTGGAAATGAAGAGTTGTCTTGGGCCACACATTACTCACACAAACACGGAGGAGAGCTGGTGAGCAAACGTGGTCTGTGTGCACTTCCTGTGATACCTGACAGCACAGATCAGGATGCTGCCCCGGGCCACACTGGACACCGCTGGCAGGCAGGCGAGGGTCTGCCTTTTTTCCTCATATTCATTTTTTAAAATTTTCAATGTGTCATTTAACATACCAAACTTTCTATTGTTTGCTACAATTTGAAAACAAATTTATTATTTTATTTGATCTCCATGTATTTATCTCTTTGCAGGCTATATGCATACTTAAGTTAAATTACTTCCCAGACTATTTTATTATTTCAAATTCATCTGGAATACAATTACCTTTCCTTTTTTTTTTCTTTCCATTTTTTTTCTAGAGACAGAGTCTCACTTTCTCACCCTCGGTAGAGTGCCGTGGCATCACACAGCTCACAGCAACCTCCAACTCCTGGGCTTAGGTGATTCTTTTACCTCAGCCTCCCAAGTAGCTGGGACTACAGGCGCCTGCCACAATGCCCAGCTATTTTTTGTTGCAGTTTGGCCAGGGCCGGGTTTGAAACTGCCACCCTCGGTATATGGGGCTGGAGCCCTACCCACTGAGCCACAGGCGCCTCCACAATTATCTTTTAATTACTGTTTGGTTATCTGTGTTCTTAGCATTCAATGTCAGTATGTGTTTTACAATTTTAATTTACAGATTTATTTTTCGGAACATTCTGAGGAACATTCTCTGTTTCCCATTCTCATTCTCCACTTCTCTCTCCCTGAATTTTGGTCTTGCAGTTTCTTTTTCTCGCATTCTTTGGGACCTCATCTCAGGTACTTGGAGGAATATTTCCCACCCATGGTGTCAGGGCATCCAGTTCTAGACACTTAGCATTTGGCTACTTCTGTTGCTTCCTACACATGATACTTGGTTTAAACTGTAACCTCCAAGCCCAGCAGTCCCAGCCTGGGGCTCTGACCCGGCTGAGGAACATCTGCTCAGTTTCTCCTGCTTGGTTTTGGACCCAGAGTCAGTAGATGCAAGACTTAAGTTTGTGTTTCATCTCCGTTTATGATGATTTTTTCATCTTGTTTTTGAGCCTGGTTATTCCAGGTTATTTTTTCTCTTGTTATATTTTACAACATAAAATATATTTTATAAAATACATATATATATTTTTTGAGATAAAGTCTCACTATGTCGCCCTCAGTAGAGTGCTATGGCGTCACAGCTTACAGTAACCTCAAACTGTTGGGCATAAGTGATTCTTTTACTTCAGCCTCCAAAGTAGCTGGGACTACAGGTGCCCACCACAATGCCTAGCTGTTTTGTTGTAGTTGTCATTGTTTAGCAGGCCCGAGTGGGTTCAAACCCATTAGTCCCAGTGTATGTGGCTGGTGCCCTAACCACTGAGCTACGAGCACCAAGCCAACAATTTTGTATAATATTTTTATGTTTGAAATAAAAGTGAAACCTCAAAGCATGGATTATAAACTTAATAGTGACTAGTTGCATTTAGATGTTGAATCACATAGCTGTAAAGGGGGTTAGGAATTTGGAATGTTACATTTCAGGTAGAGTTAACACGTTTAAAATGATTTCTAAGTAACACCACTCTCTACCCTACCCACAGAAGAGGCAAACTCCAGGGATATTTTTGTAAGGTTTATTTCACTTGTAGGAAGAAATTTGGTGCCGTCTTCAGGGACAGCCATACTCTCGCCTTAGTCCTCCCTGTCTTGGTGTCACTGACCTCATTCACCTTCTGGGAAGCCCTTACATGCCCAGGCTCCTTGGCGGCCTGGTGTGTGAGGCTGCCCAGGAGCACCTGGGCTGGGTAATCTATAAGAAGAGGCTTATTTGGCTCATGGTTATGCAGGGTATACAGGGGGGATAGGCAGCAGCATCTGTTTCTGGGGAGCTCCGGGGCCTCCACTCAAGATGGGGGGATGGCATGTGACATGGCAGAGAATAGGCTGGAGGGAGGTGGCCCTAGCTCCTGCATGTGAACTAGCAGAGCAAGGACTCATCACCCCAGGAGGGCACTGGCCGTTCATGGGGGGCTGCCTGGTGACCCTGACACCTCCCACCAGGCCCCACCTCCAACTCTGGGGATGGAATCAATGTGCAATTTGGAGGTGTAACCACAAAACCATACAGTTCCCATGCTCCTGAGTAACTTTTAGGAACAGTAACTTTACTCTACTTGGAAGAAAAAAATTCTTGTGTTCTCTATCAGCAAATAGATTTTCTACTTGATAAAACACAGGAGCAAACCCCAGTCCAAACTTTTTAAATGCAGCATTACTCTGTGTGTGTGTGTGTGTGTGTGTGACGTGGATAAGTTTAGACAGCACCCAGAGGTCAAGTGGAGCTCATGCCTGTAATCTCACACTCTGGGAGGCTGAGATGGGAGGGTCGTTGGAGCCTCAAGTTCAAGGCTGCAGAGAGCAATGATCACTGCACAGCACTCCTGTCTGACCAGCAGCAAGACCCTGTCTCAAAAAAAAAAAAAATGAAAAAAGAAAGGAAACCAAAAAAGAAAGGAACAGCACGCAGATGGACCTATTGGAAGCCTCAGAGCAGAGCTTCAGCCCCGCCATCAACACAGGTGGACAGGATGCTGCATCTCTGTCAGTTCCAAGGCAGGAGACACACTCTTGACTCTTAGAGATACAGGACGGGCAGAGACACCACATACACTGTGGTTATTTGAAGCACATTGAACTGGAGGCCTGAGATACTCAGGAAAACCACCAGCCACTCGCGTTCTCGGCCCACATCTTCAAAGAGCAACGCTTGTTTAGGCCTGTGCTGAGAGAGAGAGGCCCAGTCCAGCAACCTTGTTTCCATCTGTGGACAAGTTATAGAGCAGCCCTGCCTGGCCCCACCACTGAGAATGGGCCTTGGCAGGTCTGCGGATCCTTTCCCTTCAGACACAAGCAAAGGCAGACGCAGCCCCAGATGCTGCAGGAAGTCTGGTGATCAAAGCGTGCATCCTGCCGGCCGTCCCCCCACACTGGGGTCCTGGTGACTTCATCTCCTGCTTGCACTTTAGGAGAATAGGCCATCCCGCGGGAGCTGGGGCTTCTCAGAAAGGAGCTGACATGGTATCTGACCTCTACACAGCGTTGGCCTCCTATACCTGAAGAAGCAGCCCCGTCCGGGTCAGCTGCTGCCCAGGCTCATGCCCTACAGGTTAAGCAGTGCTATAAAAACCCAGGGAGGGGAGAGGACAGTTGCCTGAATTCACTTCTTCCCAAGACACCTGGGCTAAGCCTTAGTGCTGTGGCATGGTGTCACTGACCTCGGCCACAAGTGTCCTGTCTTCCCACTCATTTGACAGTGGGCAGGGCGTCTGTCCCATGGCTGATACCTGCTGGCTCAGCAGTGGCTCTAGTAGGGGGTCTTCCCCAGGCAGAACCCTCTGTCCATCCAGACAACCTGACCAAACAGGAGAGAAAAGTTGCTTTAGGATGTAGATTGTGAAGGCAAATTACTGGAACAACTTGCAGGGAGAAGGCCAAAGAGACGACCACATGTGAGACCTCAGCAGATAGAAACGGGGTGGGAATATTCATCCTGGATTGAGACATTTGAGAAATAATGAAGTTATAGAATTTAAGTCTTTTTTTTTTTTAAGAAACGGAGTCTCACTTTGTTCCCCTTGGCAGAGTGCCATGGCATCACAGCTCACAGCAACCTCCAGCTCTTAGGCTTAGGTGATTCTCTTGCCTCAGCCTCCCGAGTAGCTGGGACTATAGGCGCCCACCACAACGCCCAGATATTTTTTGGTTGCAGTTTGGCCGGGGCCAGGTTCGAACCTACCACCCTTGGTGTATGGGGCCCGTGCTCTACTCATTGAGCCACAGTGCTGCCCTAGAATGTAAATCTTTAGAGAGCTCAGCCTTGGCTGCACATTGGAACCCTTGGGAGGGATTTCAGAAAGATGGTGCCCATCCCATCCCAGGAACCCTGAACTAGCTGGTCAGAAGTGAGGCCTGACTGATAGCCAGCCAGCCTAAGTAACAGAGATGATGGGGATGAACTGAGACCTGCCGTGTTCTCACCAGACAGTAAGGTGGCTTTTTAGGAGAGGTGTATGATGCGACATCATAGGA